AAAGGTATTCCCACATTTGTGACAGTCCTAAGATCTCTCTCCAGGGTGAATTCTTCCATGAGGGGCACTGACTGTCAAACTCCTTTCCCACATTCCTTACATTCACAAGGTCTCTCCCCTGTGGGAATTAGTGTGTGGACAGTTAGGCTGAAGGTGACACACTGATATCTCTAGTCTTAAGGTCTGTCGCCTCTGTGAATCTGAATGTTTGGTGAGGTACCCTGCCGCTGAAATGGTTTTCATATACTCCTTATATTCATAAGGTCTCTCTCCTGGGTGAATTCCTCTACGTACAGTGAGACGCCTTGAATGTCAAAATGTTTTCCCACATTCCTGACATTCATAAGTGTAGGAAGCAGAATATCAAATTTAATGTTCATAATAAACCTAGTGTTGTATCAGGAGATGACAGAGGCTTAACAGAAGCTAGAATTCACGCTTTGACACTAAGGCATTCCTTAAGAGTCAACACTGTTCTTAGTTTGTAGTGACTGAATCCCTCCCTCCTGAGACAAGCATAAAGTAAACAACAGAGAGCAACATGGCCTCATCTGCAAAAGACTTCCCCATGAGCCCTGGTTTTTATTTTATATTTCCTTATCATTTTACTTTGTTCACCTTCCTTCTGATTCTCCATAAATACTCAGGAAGCATGGCTTGGGGGCTTCAGTGGAGAACTGTTGGCCCCCTGCTTTTCACACTCTCTGTTCTAAATCATTCCTGGGAGGCTGTCTCATTATTAATAATTATAAAAATACTTTACCCTCGGTTTGCAACACATAAGGTCTCTCTCCTGAATGAATCCTTCTATGTTCAGTGAGGGGACTTGATTGTGTAAATGTTTTCCCACAGTCCTGACATTGGAAAGGTCTCTCTCCTGTGTGGACTCTTCTATGTACAGTGAGGTGACCTGAATCTGAAAACGCTTTCCCACAGTCCTGACATGCGTAAGGTCTTTCTCCTGTGTGAACTCTTTTATGTTGAGTGAGCCTATCTGATCGTGAAAATGTTTTCCCACAGTCCTGACATTTGTAAGGTCTCTCTCCTGTGTGAATTCTTCTGTGTACGGTGAGCTTCTCTGAATTTGAAAATGTTTTCCCACACTCCTGGCATTTAAAAGGTCTCTCTCCTGTGTGAACTCTTCTATGTAAAGTGAGGTGACCTGACTGTGAAAATGTTTTCCCACAGTCCTGACATTCATAAGGTCTCTCTCCTGTGTGAATTCTTCTATGCTGAGTGAGATGATGTGACTGGGTAAATGTTTTCCCACATTCCTGACATTCATAAGGTCTCTCTCCCGTGTGAATTCTTCTATGTTCAGAGAGGTGACTGGATCGGAGAAAGGTTTTCCCACATTCCTGACATTTATAAGGTCTCTGTACTGTGTGAAATCTTCTATGTCCAGTTACGTCCTGTGATCGAGAAAATGTTTTCCCACGGTCCTGACATTCATAAGGTCTCTCCCCTGTGTGAACTGCTCGATGTGACGTGAGGCGACCTGATTCAGAAAATGTTTTCCCACAGTCTGTACCTTGATAAGGTGTCTCCCCTGTGTGAACTTTTCTGTGTTCCTTGAGATCAGCTAACCGTGGGAATGGTGTCCCACATTCCTTACATCCATGAGGCTTCTCTCTTGTTTGTGTTCCTCCATGTCTTCTAAGATGAAACAAGTGACAAAAGGTCTTCAAACATTGCTTGCATTTATAAGGTCTCTGTCTTCTGTGAATTCTTCTATGTCTAAAGAGGTCCCTGGATTTAAAAAATCCTTTCCCACATTCCTTACATTCATATTTTCCCTCACTTGTGTGAATTCCTCTTTGTTTAACGAGGTGATCCAACCATGAAAATGTTTTCTCACGTTCCATACATTGAAAAGGTCTCTCTCCTGAGTGAAATTTGGCATGGAGAGGTAAAAGAGAAAGCAGATGAAAGGTGTTCCCACACTGGTGACACTCATAAGATTTCTCATCTGTATGTGTTCTCACATGTCTCCTAAGCCATGACAAATTAGGAAAACATTTTCCACATACCTTACAATTATACGGCTTCTCTACACGATCAATGTTTCTCTTTCCTGTGCTGTCTGAAGTAGTAGTAAGCGGGGCAGAAGAAGAAAAGGTTTCCCCATTTTCAATACACTCATAAAACTTTTCTAAAAAATTAAATGCTTCTTTGGAAACTAAAGGGAAAGGATTCCTGCAGGTGTCAGCACATTCTGAAGGTTCATGTTCATCTACCACATGGATCCAAAATGAAGAGAAGGTACAGAAATCTTTGCCACATTTCTTACATTCATGGCCGGTGTCACCAAGGTCACTCCTCAACAGGTTTACGTCCACACAGTTGCAGGAATAACTTGGAAATCTGATGCGCATTTTTCCAGGGTCTTCAATCCCTTCACACGGCTCCTGGACTGTGTGAGTTCTGGAGAAAAGAATCAACACACTTGTAACTAAGCGAGTTCCTGTATGCCCACCATAAAACACAATGAAGATGTGTAAGTGTACCTTCTCAGAGTCTCATTTGACTTCAGTGACAAAAATATGATTCCTAGAACTGAATTTATAAATCTAACCACACTTTCTGATACCTGTTTCCAAAGTCACAATATTTCTCATGAGTATTTGCTGTGTTTTGTTAACTGTTTGGTTTTTCATTTTCCTGATATTCACCTCCAACAGTTCTCTCTGAGTTTATGTAGATGTTCTTTGCCACAGAGTTTTAACACTTTCCGTAACATGGAAGACCAAGGGTGGGTAGTCCTTAAGAATGTCAGCTGAGTACATTCAGGGGATAATGCTTCTCCGTCATTCATGTGTTCACGGCCTGCTATATAACAAAAATAATTTTGACAACACAGAAAGAAAAGACAGTAACAGACGTTAAGCTGTTCTCAGCAGTCAAGTGGGCACATGTTTCAGTTTCAGCACTTTGACACTGGAGAGCAAACTACTCACTACAAAGCCCTTCTGAGACAAATGAAAGACATGATGATATAAATAAGTTTCCTCTGGGTGGATAATTACAGAGATGACTCACACAGTACACACGACATCACACAGAACAGTACACACATGACAATGCACAGAACACACACTATATCACAGAGGATCATATAACATTACACGGCACACACATCACAGGAAAAACAGACAAATGGCTCTAGGACAGGCCGGTTGATGCAGAAAAGAGTGTCCAGTGATCTCTTAAGTTGTAATATCCAGCAAAAAAAAAGCCTTTTTCCCCACAACTGGTTCACGAAAAAGCCTAATTCTCAATAGGCAAAAGATCCATAGCATAGTACCGATTGCATAGAGCTTCTCCACACAGGAGCCCTAGAGAATTAGGCGGCCTAGTGGCAAGAATCTGTGCTGGAAACCCAAAGGCACGTGGTTCGAATCCAGCAGATGCCATGCTGGAGAAGGAGGGGCCATCTCCTCTTGTGCCAGTGGGATCCAATTCGAGAGAACACCTCCACCATAAAAAAACAAGAACATAAGGGCAACAAATGAGTGTTCTACCCCACTTCCCCAAAGACTAGTCCTTGAATCTGAAGCAAAAAAAGTTAGGGTGTACACTTAGGCTAGTTCATAGATCTAAATCCACTGAATCACAAGAGAAAAGGAGCTATCAGACACAGACGCTTCCATGAAGAAATCTTTTTTGATGTGTGAGTGCTAAAAGGCAGGTGACCATGTCTGTTTCATTGACACTTGTATTCCAATGCTCCTGTCAAAGTGCAAAAGTAACGTGCATGCATTCATTTTCTTGGCATTTCAAGGATTTGAAACACAGTGTATCAAATATTATTTTTACCTATGAAATCCAGGTTGTCTAAGATTTCCATCATCACCTCCCTGTAGAATCTCTTTTGAGCAACAGTCAGCAAAGTCCACTCTCGCTGGCTGAAGAAGATGACCACGTCGTCAAGCAACAATGGTGCCTGAAACACACAGCGTATTGTGGATCAGAAAGGTACCGTGTCTCACAATGTGGAAGGAACAAAGAAGGAGCCTCACATATATAGAAAACGAAGAAATCCTACAGACACGACAAAAGTTCTATTTTTTAGAAACTATTCCTCCAGAGCTCACACTGAACAGAACAGACAATAGACAAAAATGACAGGGATGAAACACTAACTCTATGAGGACAGCACAGGGTTCAGATCCGTGGTTTATAGGGTCGCCTGGAGTCGTCCCGGAGTCAACGTCACCTCACAAGAACAAGTGGCATCTGTAGAAGGGGAAAGGACTAGCATGGGAGTGTATTCTTTCCACACACATGAAGATAAAATACAAGAAAGATCTCACTGGGAAATGAAGAAAGCACAGCAAAAAAATAGAGGGTGTGAAAATCACAGAGAAGATTCAGCCAGGTCATCTAGGGTCTGATCAGGAGATTCTGTCAATAAACCTGGAGAACCAAGGCCCCAGTTGGGCATAACAGCTCACGGGGCCAGACCTGTGGGCACATCAGAACAGTGACCCTCGGCATTCCGATCGTGAGTGTGGACAGGGAAAGGGCTGGGTATTAAGGGAGCACGGAGTTTGGTACCAGGGAGCCTCCTGTTCCACCTTCACTCCTCCTGGGTGAGCGACAGTCCTCCAGAATGAAGTGGGTTCCCAAGAATGTCTATCCAATGGCACCAACTCAAAGTTGAAAAACCTGACTCTCTAGGACTCACCATTTCTGTGCTCTGTCTTCTGGAGTTCAAAGGGAACCGTGTTTGTTAGTATGAAGAAATCCCTTCAGGATGAGCATTTGAGTGGGAGAACACAGGATAACATGGAAGCAGATGAATGATGTGTGATCGACACTCCCTTTACAAGGGCTCAAATCCTCCCTTCGGGTTTACAGAAACACAACATGGAACGGAGCTCATTCTTCAGCAGCTTGGACTGGACATGCTTACAAGGCCCTTGAGAACTGAAACACACAATCAAGAGGAAGCAAAGGTGAATTAGCAAAGCGGAGGGAGGAGTTTGGAGTCATTCCCATGGCTTCTCCTCTAAGGATTGGCATTGCTAGCCTCACAGTCTCTCCTTGGCAAGGTGGGGATGCCATGAACTGGTCAGCAATGCGGAAGGCAAAATAGAAGACGTCACGCTTGAACACGCAGGAAAAGGTCCATCTGATTCCCTCCAGTTCTGTTCTGAGCAGAAATATACATCCACACTGTGGGAGAGGCCATCAGGAAAATCCCAGCTCTCCTCCGTGAACGTGAGATTCAGGTAAACACTGCGAACGCAGGAGAGGAGGGATATATACAGATGGCCACGCCCACGTGTGATTTCTGCCAGATGGGATGCTGGGGATGGAAGTACAACTTTTTTTGTACCAAAGACTCAATCTTTTGAAAACGGGCAAAAATACCTAGACGATATGAAGGACAAGGAGGAGTTAATGCTTGAGTATTATCCACTAATATGACAGAAAAGCCTGAAAACCAGTATTAAACATAGTTGCACCACAAGGCTACATACACGTGGTAACACTAGAAAAAGTAACAAGCGGTTACATGAAATGAAACATTCTTAAAATAGAAAAAAACGGTTCAAATCATGGGAAGGAAGCACATTGTGAATGGTGACATATACAGAGGAAACTGGTTATTTCAAAGCTTTCACATCAAACTAAGGTTTTACTGCCCAAGTAACAAAATCATTTGGGAAGACACTGAGTAAATGAGTGAATTTTAAGGTGGTTCCATCATCTCTGCATTAACAAGGGGAAAAGAAAACAGACCTATTTAAATGAGAATCTAAAAAATTTCAACTGAACTTGCAGCTGATAACATGAATCACTTCTCCCTTCCTGAAAGTTGTAACAACACAGTCTGCATGACCCTGGAGTCTGCAAGAGAATCTCCAGTCATTTCATTCTGCTC